GCACTATCTCCCGTATAAGGTGGTACTTCCTTTCGATGTGTTTTCCTCTCTTGTGGCTTCGAGGTTCTTTAGAATTTGCCACATCACCATTGTTATCACAATAAAGTGTGATAGGTAAGTTCATGTTTGGAACGACTTCCAAATATGTCAAGAACTTTCTAAGCCAAACCGCCTCTTTTGCTGCTTCATAAGCTGCAACGTACTCAACCTCCATGGTGAAGTCTGCGATGCATCCTTGTTTGATGCTTCGCCAAACTATGGCTCCTCCGTTAAGAGTGAATACTGACCTCGACGTGGATTTCCTTGAATCCTTATCTGTTTGGAAGTCAAAATCAGATATTTGAGGATTTTCTTAAGAGCAGATATATGGTCAGTAGGTACCAATCCTTAAGAGTGAATACTATATAAGCATGATCATACATACATACTATATATCAACCATACATATTATGCATGTAACCTATGGTGGGATTTTAAAACTATATGGCATACAATATGCAATATGCTTTTAATTAAAATATACATTCAAAATGCATAAAATAATTAGATAGCAAAGTTGGACCGGTTTTTGGCACCCTAAGAAAGTTAAATTATACAAAAAATTAAGAAAACGACTGCATCCGACTTCGAACCGCGAAATGAAGCCATGGAAACAGGTCGAAAAACACCCGGGATAAAAGCTGCGGCGCTGCACAACGCCGCGACACTACAATGCTGCATCGTGGCGCTGTGTGCTGTCTCTGCAGTGCCATGGCGTTGCTGCATAGCACCATGGCACTGTCTGCACGATCTGCTTCATCTTCTTCGCTGTTTTTTGCAACTTTTTGCGCAATCCGATGCGACGAACAACTTTGGAGCGACCCAGACTTATAGACTTGATACAGAAACTCAATGTCCACCGAGCCTTTACATGATCAATTCAAGACTTAAATTGCAATCTACATGCCAAAAACTGAAAATTTTCCAACCCGCAAACCCATATTTCGAAAATATGAAAACACCCATCAAGATCACCGATTTTGCTCCCAAAAAATCAGAACATCAATGCAGCTCTGATACCAATTGATGGGACGTGAATCCCGGAGTGGAAGCGGATCTTCGTTCATGATTTTTTGAGAAAACAAAAACAAAGGTGTGAACAAGTGAAAATATAGGGAAAATGTTTTCTTTACCTTTGAATAACTCTTCCTCAGTTTGATTTTCCCAAACACTACCTAAGAGTCTTTCGTGCTATCCTCTTGGGTCTCGAGATTGTGCTTGTGGGAGCACTGATTTGGAATGTGAGGGAGAATTGAGAGAGAGAGCTTGATCGAGAGAGAGTTTGATTTTTCAGGGGAAGCATAACTGTACAGAACTATTCTGTACAATTTAACCAAATGTGACGTGGGGTAACTCCCCACGTCACAACTTCCCATTCCCGTGCAATTTTGCAGGGGAGTTTTTAATTAATAATTAATATAATAATTAATAATTAATTAATTAATTATTAATAAAATAAATTAATTATTAATTATTAATCTAATTAATAATTAATTAATTAAATCTAATATTAATTAAATAAATAATTAGCAATTAATTATTTAAAATTTAATTAAATATCACATATTTAATTAAACCCATATATTTGAATCTTATTCAAATGCATCTCTCTCGCATAAGCTAGATTCGTAATGTACATTTTATACACATTATTTTTAACCTATAGTTTTAATATGAATCTGATTCATTTTATTTGAATCTCATTCAAATAATTTCTCTCATAAGATATAGTTTTAATTTAGAATCAACTATATATTATAATGTATCAATATACATATATTCCCTTGAGTAATTTGAACAGTTCAAATTCTTCCAAAACCTTGATCCTCGTTTTACCCGTTATGAGTTAGCAAGGGGACCGAATGGACCTACAGATCAGAAGCTCCAACGATAGGAGATTAATCGATCAAACTCATTAACCACGGGACATTATCCTCTCGTATATCAAGGGTATATCAAATATATACCTCGTATATCAGAGGTATATCAAATATATAACCAGTATATATACTGTCCCGGTTACATGAAAATAACCTTGGATGTTTAGTTTATTGGATTTTGGACAATGCAATGTTATGAATTCAATAACAAATTTATTGAATAAAACTTTATTGAATATACATTTGTTTCTACATAAATACAAACTACGAGTTTAGGGCAACACACCCAACAATCTTGAGTGAGATCTTCATTGTAATATTCCTAACAATAGTAGAACCTGCTTTTTGCATAAGACTGGACCTAGTCCCAAGATTGGGACGAACCAGTATGATCCATGTGGTGTTAAGCTTCTCAATCCCTATCTCTTATTCCTTTGTTATTGTTACTTACTTACCTGCTTTTAGCTTGTGGAAGAGGAAAATCAAATAGTTCCTGTTTGAAGAATTTATAGGAAGATTGATTGATCTATATTTTTTCCCATCGTTTAAAATGTGAATGTCCCAAAAACAAAAGAAATACACTATGACTTGATCTATTTTCTAAATGACACGTAAGCAACTTAAAAGAAATCAGTCAATAAAAAAAACCAGTCACTATATGAACTACATTCCACCCTTAGAAGATACGTAAGCATCACATAAACTTAAAGTTTGTTCCATCCTTAAAACAAAAGTTAGTTAGAAAAAAAAGGAAAAATACTTATAAACAAAGAGGAAAAAAAAGCGACACAACTATAAAGGTGAGCTACGAGACTGATATGTACAATCCTATGAAGGTGATGAGGGTGATGATGCTACAAATTGAAAGCATCCACTCTTACCAGAAGGTGGCAACATGTTACTCAACCATATGAAGGTGATAACGTTACAAATTGAAGACGCTCAACTTTATCAAGGGGTGTCACGATGCTCAAGTTATCCCCACTACAAAGTAAAGGATAGTAACAGGTGGAATAAGTAACCAAATTATGTGTTGCTCCACATGATAGGTATCATTCCTTAAACTGTGCTGGTCTCCCGTGATAGGTGTCATGCCTAAGAGGATGGTAATCGAAGGCCCAACTCACCAAATTAGGTGTGGTCTTGGTAAATGGATGATGGTAACTGAAGTCACAAGTAACCAAATTAGGTGTTTGCTCCCAAGTGTCATCCCCCAAACCGAGTCTTTTGAGAAATAAAATATGGTAATTTTGGACACTCAAACCAATACTGGAGGATCTTAGTTGCAACAAAGATAAACAATACAAAAAAAGGAGGAAAAGTAAAATTATTCTTTCACTTGCAGGAAGAAGCCCACCTTAAGTGATACACTTGAGAAAATAAAGAGCGAGATTAGGCAAGATCATGTAGCATAAAGAAAAGTAGATAGTTAGAAAAACGCAAGTTAAAAACGAAAAAAATTGAGGCCAAAGATAGTTAACCTTTATGCTGATGTTTCTTCTAGTGAGCACCTCTCGTCCCAATCGTCCCAATTTATAGACGAAAGATTTAGATTCAAATAAGATAAAAGATTGCAATTTAAATAAAAATAGAACAAATATTGTCATTTGAATCCAAATAGAATAACGATTTCTTGAATCCAAATAGGATACGATTATATGTTTTGATTCCAAATTATTTTCGAGATTTACCCATGCATTGTGCAGGTCATTTGTTGGGTGATAAATTCCAGCCAATCACAAATTGCCACATCATTATTTTAAATTAATGACTATATTACATTTGGGACCAATTACAAATTGGCACACGTGTCCAAATCAAATTAAAAGCCATGAAAAATTGCAAATCAAATAAAATTGTGCCATATAAAATGGTCTAATCAGATTATGTCACGTGGCGATTTAGTATAAAGACAGATCTAAGTTCACTTAATAAAATTGGGCCAAACTCAAGAGATTTTTTTTTAATTTTTTAATTTTAATATTGTCTTAAAACTTATTTTCAAATTATTACTTCTACCAAATTTATTCAATAATTAATGTTTTGAAATATTACTTATACCAAACTTATTCCATAAATAATGTTTAGAAATTGTTGGTCGTCTATTCAAGAGACAACCTAAGTCGTGGTGGTGCATGTCCTTTCTTCATAAACAGAGACAACATGCACCAGCTGTTTTTTTTTCTTTTCTAAATCTTAGCATATGGTCTCTTAAAAAGACTACAACTTCTGTATTATATTTGGGCTACATATTGCAAGTCATACAAGAGACTTGTAACTGTATTTGCTTTTCAAAATGATCTTCTTACCCACACACATGTCAGTCTAAGATTTTTTTAAAACTTTAAATTAAATTTTAACTAAAAAATCTTAAAACAAAACAATTATAAAAAAATCGATTTTTTAAAAAACAAACTTTAAATTAGATTTAACTAAAAAATCTAACAAAATCTAAAAAAAMCCAATTATAAAATATAGACATTTTAAAATTAAACTTAAGTAAAAAAATCTAACAAAAATCTTAAAAGAACCAATTTAAAAAAGTCAATTTAACTAATTATTATTAAACATTTAAATTTTAAAACTAAATCTAATTCAAAAAAATTAGATAGGTGGTAATTGATAGCCAATATATGTTTGTTCCATGACATTTTCTACAGCCCTATAAAGCGACGAGTCATCGATCTCCAACTCATCAATCACTCATGACTCATTTCATCATCACCAATCTTTCATTCTTTTGTCGCTTCCGTCGGTAGAACAACCATTCTGATAAATAAATTTATTTTTTGCTTAAAGATTCTAAACTTAAGTTATAAGCCTCCTCAGAGCCAATCTCCATCATAATTGAGCTTGTTTATGCTTTTTCTATTAATATTTATGGGAAGGTACTATTTGATTTATTTTTTAATTTAAATTGATTTATTTTAAAATTTTGTTAGATCTAGGTTGTTAGATTTTTTAGTTATATTTAGTTTTAAGTTTTTTTTTTCAAAGAAAATATTGGAAGAATGTGGGAACGTAGAAGACTTTTTAAAAAAGAAGGGCATGTCATCTTTGCAAGAAATGAAATGTTGGGAATTAGGAAGATATATGATATTTGCTTCTCTGAGCTGCAATGCAAACTTCTTCTTCGTTATGCATCTCTCTTAGAACATAATACTTGATCTTAAAATGCTTAGTCTTTCCATGAAAAACTGGATTCAATGAAATAGTTATAGTGGCTTGATTATCCACAAACACCTTCACACTCTCTTCTTGCTTAAGATGCAAGTCATGCATCAATTTCTTCAACTAAACAGCTTGGTTGACTGCTGCTGTTGCTGCAATGAACTCAGCTTCTGTAGTTGACTGAGCCACTATATCTTGTTTTTTTTAACACAATGAGAAACACCCTGAACCAAAAATGAAACAATAGCCAGAGGTGCTCTTCATATCATCTAATGACCCAGTCCAATCACTATTTGAGTAACCCTGCAACTCAAAATTTTCAACTTTACTGAATTTGATCCCAAAAGACAGTGTGCCTTTCAGATATCTCAAAACCYTCCTTCCAGCAACCATATGATTTCTTGCTTCATATGATTTCTTGCTTGCATAATGAAGAAATCTAGATAAGACACTTACAGTGTACATGATGTCAGACCTAGTGGATGTGAGATACATGGGACATTCAACTAGACTTCTGTACACATTCTCATCTGCAGGTTCCTCTCCATCATCCTTTTGCAACTTATCCTTTTGAATCATTGGAGTGTTCACACTCTTACACTTCTCCATATTGAACCTCTTCAATATCTCTCTTATGCACTTTTTCTGACAGAGAACACTTCATTATACCCTTGTTGAATCTCCACACCAAGGAAGTAATGCCTTATACCTAGATCGGTCATTTCGAACACCTTCATCATTTCTTGCTTGAACACCTCTATCTAAAAATTATCACTTCCTGTCACCAGCAAGTCATCTACATAGAGAGATACATTCACCTTCATCATTTTATGCCCTAGGAGCTTGCTTGAACCCATAGAGAGCCTTCTTCAATAAATAAACCTTATGTTCTTGTCCTGGTGTGATGAACGCGTCTGGTTGCTCAACATAGACCTCTTCTTCTAACACTCCATTTAGAAATGCTGACTTCACATCTAGCTAATACACATTCCATCCATGTTGAGCTGATACAACTAGTAATATTCTGATTGTGTCCGTTCTTGCAACCGGTGCAAAAGTCTTAGAGAAATCGACTCCCCAAACTTGTGCGTACCCTTTCACCACTAACCTGGCATTGAGCTTGTTCACAGAGCCATCTGGAATTTTTTGTCAGCAGGCTTCTCCACTAGCTCCAATGTCTTGTTATTCTCTATCATTCTCAACTCCTTTTTCGTTGCCTCCATTCACTTTTAATTATCTCTTTTAAATTCTTCATATCCTGCAGGCTCCATCACAGCTGCTTCTTTGATACACCTCAGTCAGTAGTCTAGTTCCTCTAACTGGTGCATCATCAACTAGTTCATCAGGATCTAGAGAGACTTCTTGTTGCTTCACCTCTACTTCTGTCCAATCCCCACTCCTTATCCTCCAAAAAATTTAACGTCTCTACTAATCACCTGTTGGGTTTGGTGCCCTTAGCTTGTGTATTTGTAATTTATTAACAAATTATTTATTTAATAAAGAGTTATTTTATTATTTCTTTGCATTACTCGTATTCTAATAAACTAAGATCAAAGGTTATTTATGATGGAAAAAATACATACATGCGCAGCGGAAGTGAGCAAGAATCGAAATAACAATCTAGATGCATAATACAACCTAGGATTAAACATGCATGATCATACATTATGATGCTTAGAGATAAGTAGAGAAAAATACAAACCTTTGTAGCTTTTCAAAAATCTTCAAATAGCT